CTAAGATCTAATAATAAAAAAATATTTTATTACAGACATTCAATCATTAATCATAATGATGAATCAAATATATAAACTTGTTACCGAATGGTCAATAAAAAAGTAGATGTACTGGAATCACCACAAAGCTGAAAAGAGCTCTGTAACAATATGAAGAAACTGATACTGATGCAAGTTTAGACACCTCAATCCTTGATTCTAATTGATGAAAGTTTGGCAATGGTCAAAACCAAGGGAACTCTCGAATGACTTTTAAAAATAAATAATAATTTATAATTATGAACAATTTTACAATGGAATGTAAATGGGTTCTACACAAGACTTGAAAGATGCTATGTAAAAATTAAACATCAGACATAATTTGGTTACAAGAAACAACCTTAAAGCAAAAAGTTCAGGAAGAATAAAAGGTTTCAAATGTTTTAACAGAAACAGGACCAATTCCAATATAGCCAGTGGTGGAGCCACTATATTCGTTAAAAATCTCATACCCTGTTCAAAAATCAACCTTGAACTGAAATATAGCTAGTAGCCATTGACATCCAAGCCCCAATTTCTTTGTGCATTTGTAATGTACAATTACAAAGTGTTACACAATAGTATATTCTACCTAATAGTTACACCTTTAATGCAAGCGAGATCCAATCAATTATTAATCATATATCTCACCCATTTATTTTTAGGAAATTTTAATAGCCATAACACCCTAAGAAGTTCAAAACAGTCCCCAACGGTATATGCGTTGAATCAGTAATAGAATATATGGTTTTGACAACGCGTACTAAACAGTGGTGTCCCAACGCACTTCAACAAGAGTTCTAGCACAACTGACCATACTATGTGTTCTGCAAATATAGCACCGAAGTGTAACAAGTACACGAGGTAATCCACACAACAGTGGTCACTTCTCTATTTTCACTGACATTGACCTTTTCCACAGCACCATCAGCCCTTAACAGCCAATCACGAGATGAAGTTTTAACAAAGATGAGTGGAAGCTCTACCGCAGTATATGTATTTATACAGCATCTCCGTGTTGAATGCTCTATGACGACGTGTTGGTCAGCGACTCTAGCGACCCGCGCGGCGATCAAAGAATACTACGCCGGCTTACAATTCGTAATACAGCATCGTTCCTCTAAATTTAACCAAAAAGTAAATGTTTTTTATATATTTTTTAATTTACTTATCATATAACTAAAACATGTGAAGTAGAAGTTTTGAACAATTTCTAAAGATATAAATTATTTAAATCTCATGAACGTTCTCGATCGAAAGTGAATAGTGGAATCATGAGAAAGTACAAGTACTTCTGTACTGTTCATGAAAAAATCTAGAAATGTAAGTAATTTAAGATGTAAAGAAAGGTATTTGGAGGTAATAACATTTCTGTGAGGACGTAAAAACAAGTGTCCGTATTTCCTTTCTGGGTCTATTAGACCAGTAAAAAACAACCAAACCCAGGATTCTTTCCTTCATTACTGCTGCATTTAATTGCGCACAGTGCGCCCTCGACATGCGCATTGTTACTAACGTGTTAACTAGAAAACTATAAGAATTCAGTTGGTATATATAAAAATGTTCAGATGCATGTCAAATTTTTAGGTTAAAAAGTTGGTTCTATGTGCTTTTTAGGTGTTATTTAATGACTTTCTCTTGAAATCCTAGAAATATAACACCACGAGGGCAAGAAAAATACGAATTTTCTTTTATTTTTAACCACGTCCTAATAAAAGCAATTTCACAAAGAAATTCGTATACTTCAGTAGCATCTATCCGTAGTTTCACTTGACCTCTACCAGAATCGCTAGCTGTATGCGCGCGCACCCGTAACTGGCCAAAAAACGGGCTGAGCTGCGCTACTGAATAAATACATATAAAGTGGCTCTACCAAGACTAATTAAGTAAATACTCCTCAGAGGTATCACTCGTTCGTTTCACTATACATTTGCAGACAGAGCGCTGCGGTCTGTTTACATGAGGTCACCGCCGACTGAATGAGAATCGCACGTCTACAGTTGAAACTGATCGATTAGGTATAAGAGAAATGTGAAGAACCAATACCGTACTTCCTTAATGATCCCTTTTTAAATAAAGAAATCACAACTACCTTTGCAGCAATTAAAATACTGCACGCGGTCCTGAGAAAATCCCGAACCTCCTCATAAAATAACTATCTACCACTGAAATGGAAAAACTACTCTGAATTTATAACAATGTGGACAAAAAATGCATTCCTCGAAATATGGAACACCGCTAAGGTATTCCAGTTCCTAAACCTCGAAAAGACCCAACAAAGACTTGTCGTTACAGACCGATTACTCTAACGTGCAATATGGTAAGATAATGGAGAAGATTATTAACAGAAGACTTAAGATGGTTTCTTGACCTTAATAAGATAATTTCCAATAACCAGTTTCGATTCAGAGCAAGCCACTCAACCACATCACATTTGATACGTACTGACATAATTATCCAAGAGGCATTCCTTAACAAACAACGTTTTAGCAATATGTCTAGATGTTAAAAAGCGCATGACAGTCTGAACTCATCGTATTCTGCAAAAACTACCAGAAATGGTAATTTAATGCAATATGTTTCAGTTCCCATCCATCTTTACAAAAATTCATGTCAGAGTGAATGTGACCTTATCTGATATGTAATTAGATAAAGAAATACCTCAAGGATCAGTTTTCAGGGTAATCTTATTTCTCCTAGGAATCAATGATGCTGAATTAGCAATTAAACTTCCGGTTGTCATGAGGAAATATGCATATAACATTACTATTTATGTAAATGCACCAATATTAAATACATACAAGAAGCCATGCAAACTGCTCTAAATCAACTATCTGAATGTGGTCTCTTTGATCCGGCTTTAAAGTTTTTGCACAGAAAACCCAATCTATTTTATTTACTAAGCATCAGAAGTAAAATACACACTTTTTTTGAAACTTGGCAACCAAACTTTCAAAGTACTCGGAATTTTTTTTAGTCCAGAATGTCATGGAAAATTCATATTCAGTATTTAACAGATAAATTTAAAAGAAAGTTAAGCATTCTGAAATATATTTCACACCAATAGTGTGGTTCAGACAAAGCTATAAAACTATGTTACTATAAACCTATTGTACAAAACTATAATTCGTTCGAAGATTGATTGTGGGGCAGTTATATTTAATTCTGCCAAAATGAAATTACTCAAAAAACTTGACATAATTCATAAAATTCACAATAAGGTCTTTTGAATCCATCCGGGATGTTTCCATTCAATTAAGATAGAAAGTATCTTAATTGAAGCTAAGGAGGCAACATTATATCAACGAATACTCTTGTTAACTTTAAAATATGCCATCAAAGCAGCAACATCTAACAGCCCTATCATATTTCATGATATTTATTCACATCACAAAAAATATTGTGGACTTGAAAACAATCTTGTAGTATATGCCAAAACCAAAAAATAAAAAAAATCTCCCATACCTTGCTGTTGAGAAAGTTAATTCGGAGAAAAAGGAAATTACTTGATACCTCCTTGGAAACGCCCAGAGACCACTACTGACACCGCTCTAAATTTCTTACAAGAAAATATATCATCTAAAGAAGAATGGAAACCAAAAGTATAAGAATTCATCAATAAATACACTGATTACTATAAAATATATTTTAAGAGCATAAAAAACAATTAGGTACTTTTGCTAATGTAACTACTTAAGAAATGCAAATAAACCACAAACTAAATTCATGTGCTAATTCTTTCGCAGCAGAATTATGTTCCTGCTGTCAGTCTTCGAGCTAGATAAATCTGGCGATTTAACGTTTAGTGATTTAACAAACTCCATAACATTCATTGTCTTTTCCAATTCCGTAGAAGCAATATGTACTAAAAACAGCAAACATCCTGAGAATGAAATGGTAGATTTAATCCTTAAATTGTATTATGAAATATCACTGCCAGGAACAAAAGCGTTTTATCGTGAATCACGCCCCTCAATGGTGCCATTGACTGCGAAACTTCTGTCGAGGAAGAAGTGACCACCCCTGTAACTGCTGCAGATGCTCTCTGAAGTTTGAGGACTCTTTCGATTAATTTCATATTTAACCAAATGAAAAAAATATCAGGTTCGAAAGATAGAAATGGATGAAGAGTAGTGAAACACACAAAAATAGTCTCCAAAACTATGTCTTTAAAACATTCAAACAACTCTTATGGGAAGATCAGGTGGTCATTGCAAGATGGAGTACGGAACACTCTAAATTAACGCATCTCACGGCATACTCACCTAATAACTGAAAAAAACTTCTCTATGTGATCATTGTAAAGTTCTTCACAATGTAAAACACATATTAATTTACTGCCCTCAATACAAATGCGGCAGATAAAACACCAATTCGGTGACACATTGTAACATTCTTAATTCTAAAGATAATCAAATGAAAATTAATGATTTTGTTAAGGAAATCAATATTTACAGTACCTTTTAGAGGAAAACCTCGTATATACTACACTTACGTTATTTGTATTGTTTTCCCACTGTTTTTGGTAACAAATATGGTTCAAATTTTTATATTATATTTGTAAAATGTATCCATCAGTTTAGTCGCTAATGACCCTGATGGTGACGCCATGATAGAAAGCTTCATTTCACTGAAGATAAAAATTGCATAATTAACTTTTGTAAAGCCACAATGTTTTTGACATTTGACATCACTGGTACTCGCTAATATAACTTCCACTTTATATTATTTTGTAATTGATTAAATATTGTATCAAATTACATTCTTTTGTTGATATAATATTGTACCCAATTATGTTTATGGTGATTTAACTTTGTATACAATAGTAATATTAAGTTTGAGTATTGTTGTAGCTGTAATTTTTTAATGCATCTGTAAGTGTAATAGTCGCTAATAAACAGGATGTTGATGCGAAATAAATTAATTTAAAAAAAATGACAGGTGTGTCATAGTTATATATAAGTCTGTTATCAAAAACTTACAAGTCTTGCAGCTTATTAAATGGCACAAAAGCACGTGGATGGATGTCCACGATGACATTGCTCTCCAGGTCCCTGCAAAGGCAAACACATTAAATTATTATTTGTATTTCAAACGTGAAAAATGTGCCCTGCACATATATACAATAACATGAAATGCTTTAGAATAAAAGGAGAATGGGGTTTGTTCTCATTTACCGGGAAGAGAACATTTGCTAATTTGATCACAGACTTTGCAGTCAGATTTTCATTCAGAGTGCCGAATATGGAATGGACAATCCAAATGCAGATGTTACTTAAATACTTTTTTGTCATTTTATAGAATTTAAAAAAAGTGTCTTTTTTAGATTCGCGGATATGTATTTTTTCCAATTTTATAAGTGTTTCCTTCTTTGCCATGTGTACTTGTAAGATATGTTCAACATAAAAATTGCATACACGACTTATACCATGCAAACGAAACGAAGAATATTAGGCGCGAAAACTAAGTTTTTTCAAACAAATATTGCTAACACATATGTCAATTAAAAATGCGTTTCATACATACATGTCCCAACAACGAGACGGAATTCACAGAACTAAAACTGCTGCTTCGCACGGCGGAACGCCAATGTCGCATTCTAATCTATTGTGACGTAGTGAAATAAGAAATAAATTTCAATAACGAAAGAAAAATAATATATTAAAGATTATGTACAAGTTACAATGAATTGCTAATATTAAAACACTCCGGCAACCTTTTCCTTTCAGAACACTGCTTTACCGCAGAAAATACAAGCCACGCGTGATGCGCGCTGTCGGACTTCCGTCCCGTGACAATTACCGTCACATGGCCTGACGCCAAAATTTAACCCGGTCGTGGCGACCGTGTGCCTACAGCACGCGAGATCGTCTGGCCCTTACTCTCCGGACACCTCGCCCACACTCCTACACTCCTCGTACATACACGTACAAGCTTCCCGATGCAAACTGAATGAGAACGCGGGCGCAGATGGCGCCGCGTTAAATAGTTGAGGCTGACACCCCCCACCACTGTTCCATAGATAGGCTCGCTGGCCAGCAGCTTGGTTTACGCCCACACACAGGATTCTCAGGTTGGCTTGCCTGCTTCATTAAGCGAGGCTCGCTGGCTACCATCCTCGGAGTTTACAACCTACGGTATTTTTGGCTCTGCGGCTCTACCTGAGTCAACCGCCAGAGCGCAAACTCCCGGAAGTTCAGGCTCAACCCCTTCCTCCCCCGCAGCGTACTTTCACCGACCTAACGGTTCTGGCCCTCGTGTTAACGACGCCACACTATATACCCACCTAAATCCGCCCACCCTAATCCATAAAATTATTTGCCCCCTCGTCCCACAAGCACTCCCCCTCCTCCTCTAAACCACAAATGCCAACTTCTCATTGTAAAGATACCCAAATTAGAAATTTAAAAATAGTGAAGGGTTGTTCCCGCACTCTCCTGAGGAGAACCAATAACATTTTTGTATGTAACATTGAATGATGAACTAATTGGATGGCATCCTACTGCTGTGTTGGGATGACGAGGGATCGCTTGAGATCTATGAACTACTACAACTTACTGGTGACTAAATTAAACAAAAAAAACTATCTAAGAACATTATTACGAATTCCGCACAAGAAGTGGAAATCTAAATCTGAATTACGAACCTATGATTTTGCTCTGAAGAGCTATGATCAATATGCAAATGAAATACTTTTAAAAGGTGCTGGACAGTTTCAATTCATAAAATGAAAAAAAAAAGAACTGTGTGTACTTATATGAATTCAATGGCGGAGGGCCTACGAAATTACAAGAGTGTAATTTATTTAAGTGAGTGTGTTTGTGTGTGTTCTGGGTTCAACGCGGACAAGGACGAAGGAGGAAAGGTCGTGCGCTGTCTCCGGAATTCGCCTGCTAAGGGCGGCTGAAGAGAAACTTACAGGCGCTGAAGGTTGGACAGGCCCTGGAAGGCGTGCTCTGGCAGGTGCGTGATGGAGTTGTGCGACAGCATGAGATCGTGCAGTTTGGCCAACTGTCGGAAGGGCCTGCCTTCCAGGCTGCCAATGCGGTTGCTCGCCAGGTCCCTGTGGACAGGGTATCATGAGATAGCAGCTTCACTGAAATATCTCATTTCCAGTGTCACACAATTAAGTTAAAAATGTTTCTCGTTTCAAATCTTACCCTATCTTGGCACATAGGTGTCCAAATTATTTCCAATTTGGCAGCCTATGTGCCAATACACTGTAATAAAGATGACATTGAGGACACGTTTGTGAATTTAAAGCTGTTTTAGAAGAAAATAAAACACATGAACGATACAATTATTGTTTATGTTGCGATATTACATATCCTGAACATTTAGAAAACGACACATCAAGTATCTAAATTTTATGTTTACAGAATTATAAAGAACGACGGTTAGTTTTTCTACAAATGTATGCCCTTTGAATAAGAAGGAAATATTTAATAAAATGCATTAGTGTACAGGATATTTTATGTGAATGTAACACTACTTGCAGGCAAACGAAAGAAGTTGCCTGCTATAAACAGCTAAGTTGTCTTTATCAGTAGTTTATGATACACGCATGTTTCTTGTGAAATGACACCTGTACTACTGTAGAAGATAATGTAGGTATGGTTATTAGTAGGATCTTTCAACGTAGTTTCTTTATTGCACCGATATTAACATTTGTCTAACTTTCATACATTATTCATAATAATCGACAAGCAACAAACCAGTCTACGTCGGAAACAACGCAGCTTCCGTCGAAACTTGAAACCAGTTGAGCGCAAGCGCACAAAAGAGCCTGGCAAAACATTAATGCAGTTTGGGGCAGAGCTGCAAAGTATGCAGCGAGTAAATCCGCAGTGGCGCGAGTATCGGAAACGAATTTAGAGGCAATTGCGGCGCGTCGAGGCGCTGGCGGAGCGCAGCGCAGCGGAGAGAAGAGGAGAGGCGAGGAGAGGAGAGGAGAGGCAATGAACGAACGGCGACGGAAACGCAACGCGGCCGCCAAGGGGCCCACGCGGGCAACGATCCATGGGAATATCGGCTGCAGGCAGCTCCGTCTCCCCCACCCCCCGCCTCGCCTGCTTCCATGCCCCCGGCTCCACGTGCCGCTTCCCCGCCCCATCCCCGGCCCTGTCCCACCATCCCCCACTCTCTCAGCTCTACGTTCCCACTCTTCACTCTTCACCATCCTCTTCGCCCCGTCCCTTCCACTCTTCTTCTCCCTCTCCGCCGCTCTTCCCTAGCCCCTCGTACCCATCCACTCTTCACAGCCCTCTCCGCCTCCCTTCTTCGTCCTCGCCATCTCCAACCTATCCGCTCTTTTCCGCCTTCACCGACTTCTGTTCCCTATCCGGTCACAGAGCAGATACTACACAGAAAGGAAAGCTACCCACTATCCATGCACCGATGCACTATGGTTGCCATATTGAAAGTGTGCAAACTGGTGTATGGCCCGGCATTTGTTGTGTCGTGAACTGTGGTGAAGGTGAGTTTTATTTCAATTTTACTCGTTATATTTCATGTGTGTATGACTAGCAAGGACGTACGGAACCCAAGGGGACATTTGCTTAGTGTATGCCAATATTAATATCGCGCTTAGGCAAATATTAATAAAAATAGAGATGAACAGGTAAACAATTATAAATACATAACTATGCCACAATTGGCATATAATTTATCATATTTGTTTTCTGTTTTCGTTGGTCAAGGCTAGTTATCTGACTTGCCACATACTCTAGTCAGCTGCGATTTATCTCCGCCCAAAGTACATTTTTTTGAAATTTTTACATTTCTTCGGTTTCCTAATAGTAGAACCAAAATATTGCTTTAAGAATATTAAAGAAGAGTAAAACTTAGTCCTAAATGACATTTTTCATTAAAAAATTTGGAGCCATTTTTAAGAAAATATCTTTTAAGCGTTACTAAAAATGCGAAATTGAAGCTCTTTTTCACAGAACATTTTAGAGTTTTCGGAAAACTTTATTTGAAGTTATTTGAAGCACTACAACTCACAAACGTAACAGTGTTTACAAATTGCTGGAAATATGCATATTGAAAGCGTGAAAGATATTTTCAAAAATTACACAAATGTAATTTTTGAAAAAAAAAAAAATAACAAGAAAATAATACATCAACATGAGTTTTATGTCACAATAAGCATTTCAATTAGCCCTAGCCTTTGGAAAAGTTAGAAGACAAATTTTGTAGCCGTTTTTGAGAAAATAACGTTTGGGCTGACTTTGCGGCTCCTTTGCAGTTGCCAGACGGCGATCGGCGCTGTGCGGAATCTCACTGGAGATCCAAGGAGCCGCCCTCTACTTTCCTTTCCGTGTAATAGCAACTCTGCGATCCGGTCTTCTCCGTCCTCTTCACTACGTCGACTGTCCTTGCCCCCCTCCCCCCCCCACGCTTCGAGCACTCCTCCACGCTCTCTTCACCCCAACCGCTCCTCCCTACCTTCTCCGCCTCATCTACGTCACTTGTCCCGCTTCTACACCCTTGCCCTCAGTTTGTTCTTACTCTGGGGAAGTGAGTAGATAAAAGTTGAAAATGTCAGATTATATAAAATGATTGCGTTCAAGAGTATTGACATTTCTAGATTTGTGACTAACGCTCTGGAATCAAAATTACTTAAAAGCCGCGTCTCCTATTCTTGTCTTGCTCTTCTGCGCGTACCTCTTAAGAGTTGTCTATCTCATTCCGGCCCCCTCTCCCTTTCCATTACTCACTTCTTGCGATTCACTAGCTTTGTTTGCTCCCGCTATCTGACCGCTCTTTATTTCATCTCTGCCGGTTCCAATAATATTGCCTTGCTCCGAGTCTTATTCTTCCTGCATTTCACACTTCCACATCGCTTCGTAGGTATTTTGTGACCATTCCGAGCTCATCGTATTTGCCACCCTCGCGTCGCCAGATGTCATCAACTACGTCAGGCTCCCTCGCCGACCATCCTCCATCTCCTTTATCAATACACCTAATTGTGTGTAGCAAGTGATGTTTGGATCTCCAGTGCCATAATCGCTGCCTCCAACTCTACTCTAATCCCCATCTTTGCCTACCCGAGTTCGTTCCTCTTCAAATTCAACTTCACCTACTCCTCCGCGCACTGGCCCCACCCCCACCCCCACCCCTGCCGCACCGCCTTCACCCTTCGCTGCGGCCGACGCCGCGGCTCGGTGCCTCCCAAAACACGCTTCTCGCGTTTCCAGAGCAGTGACAGACGAGTCGATAATGGTTATCGATTATCGAAGTGCCCCTGCGAGCCCTGAGTGAGCCGCCGACGATATGGGTTGCGAACGATGCTCCCGGTTGAAGAGACGGCGTGGCGGGCGGGTCAGCCCGGGCCCCTCGGGGAGCACTTACGCACCTCGGCAGTTGTCCCGATCGGTGGGGTTATCGCCCCCCCCCCTTTGGCGATCGTCAATGCACAACCCACATGGTTTCCTAAATATTATGTTGCTTAACATGACGTTTAATAACACTTTTTTAATACAATTGAATTATTTATATAGGAAATAATTTTAGAAAATAAGTTGTCTTATTCACTGAAGTTCTCAACGTCATTGTTTTGATTTTCTAATATTATTTACTAACACTTCAAAGAAATGAAATAATGTATAACAAAAGTATTGCAAACCTCCCGATGAAAAATTCAATATTTGAGGATTATTTTTATGGAATTTTTGAATAGATTATGTTTTTGAACGAAACAACTAGTAAAGTTTAAAGGGTTGAAAAATTAAAATTATTAATAAATTTAGAATTTAAAAAGTTATTAACAATGAACGGTTTATAAAACCTGCACGACCATCAACAGAAGGTCAACACTGCATTCCTAATTCTTCAGTAAGTAAAAAAAAATGAAATTTTTTTGCTAAGTATGTGTTCATGACCGTTCAAAGGCTGTCAATTGATGGTGATATTTGATTACTTTTTCCACGAATATGGTATGATTGAGATGTGTTACCAGTGAGAAATGCGGAGCAGCGGCCAGGTGATCTGCGTCACCTTGTTTCTTTGGATACTTACAATAATCTCAACTCTTTGCAGCCGTCGAGCTCCGGAATATGAGTGAGGTTATTGGACTTCATCACCCTGCGCAAAGAAAACATCGGATTAATATTAACACTGACTTGCGAATTCCTGAATGTTTCGTAGACCAGAAAAGCAAGGCAATAAGTATTAAAAGAATATGAGGAAAATTTAATAAAGAAATTAAGTATACTATAATAATACATTATAGAAAATCACTTGATATACTTGTAGATGTCGCGATTAATTGAAATTAGTAGGATTTATAATGGAAGCAACGACGTATAAGAAGGTCCATAACAGAACCAACATTTCCACTTTTCATGTTTTGAAATATTTTCTGTGATAATTGTTTCTGTATAGTATATCATCCTACTCCATCACATAAAACTTTACAATGTGCCTTCATTCTCGTGTTATATGATGTCAAGTATATAGAATCGGAACAAAAGGCAACTTTTCAAATCCAGTGGATAATTACAGATTTTTAATTCATGCATGTTTTTTCAGAGACATTCACAAGATTTTCTTGACTTTAAATATTAGTCGTCCATGAGTGGACTCAAGCGTGGCAGGTTTACTATCAAAATAATAATTCGGAATCTTTATAAATAACCAGGAACAAAAGAAAGGTTGCTCGAGACTAATATATGGCACACCTCGTAGCCCCATCTGCGAGTGAGAACGACTCATTTTTCACCAGAAATCAAGATATGTCTCATGCCATTTATATTTACGAGAATACAGAAAGAACGTAATAGAAAAGAAAAAAAATGAGCGATTTTTTCGAGAAATCGCCAATGAACCACAATGAATCATTAAAACTAGAAAAATACGCTGATTTTGAAAACAAATGTGTAATAAATAGTTATGCTCCAAGGGCATCATAAGGGTTCTCATCATCGAGCGCCGACAAAACGCCCGAGGGCCCTCGCCCAAAGACTCTTCGTCGCCCGACATTATTCAAGTTCACACCAGTGGTTCATACAGGAATCTTTTTCTCCCGTAATTTCAATGATTCAGATTTAGTTATTTTCTAATTAACTAGTTGTTAACTTGACTCGGTTTGTCTTTTTATGTTTCCCTCCCACATTTCTCTTTCACAATTTCTTCTCAGAATTCCATCTATTAAAAAAAGTAGTTCGTCATAAATGAATTAGTAATTGGAACCAAAATAAATTGAGATAGCTTTAGAATTGAGAAGGTCAACCAATTAACATGCAAAAAATATTTAATATACCAAACTATTATGAATATCCGTGGTGTAGAATGTAATTAACGTACCTAATGAACAAATGATCAATTTAACATATTTCCTCTACGGTCCATTAAATGGAACCCTCGACAGTGGAAGCGCAATTTCCGTCCGGAAGTGATGACCCATTAGTTCCAAAAGACGCTAATTGCTATCAAATGAAGAGAACAATTTGAGTCGAATTCGATGCGCTTTCGTTATTCGTCTCTAATGAGCGGTGAAATCGTCGCCACAGGGCGTCGCCGCGGGCAGCGAAACACGCGTCGTCCTTGCCACCTTGCTAAGCGACGTGGCGTCCTGCTTTCGTGTCCTTTTTTTTGGGGGGGGGGGCAATTTGCTCGAACATTTTTTTAAAGAAAATAGTCTCACGTAGCTTTGAGCAGTGTTGACTAATGTTCCCCACAGCGAGGAGGTTGGTTCGGTCGTCAAATTTTGTCCTTTGCGGTAAAAATGTCAAAAGGCTAAATATTTTTTTAAAATACCATTTGAAATGGCAAGAAAATGGAAATAAATACATCAGTATTATTTTTATTTCAACTTACATATACCACCGTAAATACATTTTATGTTTTTATATTAGAAGTTATGAGCGTTTCTGCGATTATTGGTCATATTAATGATTTCCTTAAAAAAATCATTTATTTTTGCCCATTTTAGGTAGAAACCTGCGATAAATGAAATGCATAAAAAGCGTATAGAGAAGGGAAGTGAGTAGATAGCAATTTTGGACAGGATTTGGTGGTGGGAAGAGAATGACGAATTTGGAAAATATGGAGAGGGAGAAAATATTATTAGGAGGAAAGAGCGAAGAGAAGGGAAAGATCTTGAAGGAGATGAAAGCAGGAATAGTGACGGGAAAGAGGGAATGATGGTGGGCGAAAACAGGTGAGGTGATGATGGACAGGGCAGGATGTAAAGTGATAATAGAATAACAAAAATGGACAATAGGGAATAGAAAGTGGAAAGGGTTGATGGGTGATAGGTAGGACTAGGACGGCTAGGAGGGTGGACAAAATAGATGGCAAAGTGATTAGGGAAAATAGACTAGAATAGGACAGGAATGGCAGGACGGACAAGGCCCGCAGGTCGGAGAGGGTAGAAGGAACGGGTAGTTGAAAGGGTGGAGGGGATGGTCAAAAGGAAAGGCGGGCTGGAGGAAAATTCGGAAACGGTGGGGTCGTACAGCAGCGGAGAAACTTCATGACGAGGAAAGAGAGATACGGTGAGGCGAGATACCGAGGGGCGAGATGTGGCGAAGGAGGCGAGGCGTCCGCCGGTCCCGTATGCATTATTCACCAGGGGGTAATTAGCGTTAGGCCGGGTTGCGATCGCCTCGGGAAGATCCCGGGTGGCCCTGACCCCCCCCCCCCCGCTTCGCCGTGCCAGCCACCCATGGCTCTCGACGCATTCAACACGGATGCGACCTTGAGAAGCCGGGAATTACTACAACTGTCATTTTCTCTCAATATAATGACAACGAAAGCTAGATATAAATGTTTTACTTTTAGTTTATAATTAAAACGGTTAATTATTAGTATACGTTTAATATTTAAAATAATATGAAGGCACACAAAAGTTCCTTTGCAGGAAATGGCAATTCTCAGATTATCATGATTTTTCTTAATATAAATACCTAAAAATGTAGAGTCAAATCCATTACTTAACAATTATGAAGCATTTCTTCGTAAGATATACATAATTTAGGGTTGAACAGTTACTCTTACTAAGGAAAATGTGGATCGTATATTATATTAACCCACTCATATTTCCACAGCCTACGGAATCAAATAACGTGAAAATTTCAAAAAATGTGAATATGCTAAGATGGTTATATTTAGACTACAAAAGCAAGGAACATCAAGAGATATAGCCTAAAGCGAGGGTTCGTTTTGTAGCAAATCGAAGAACCTTCCATTGTTTCTCCGAGAGAGAATTTTCGATTTCTGCAAAGTGTTCCGCCGAAGGGGAAGTTTTCTGCAATATTGCGAGTAGTGGCAGTATCATTTCCCAACATTATGCTCGATAGTAAGGAAGCGGTTCCATTTTGGAAAATGGAAGGAATGAGAACATGCATAGAAAGAGGCGGAAACCACGCGAAAATAAACAAGTGATGAAAATACGTAACGTATATGAATATATTCCGTGGCGGTAGCAAATACATCGTGGTAATCAATGATGTGAGGTAGGAAATAATAATCCACAACAATCACAGTATGTTGGTATGGGCTATGTTTTAATATTTATTATAACTATGTTATAATATTTATTATAACATACCCCAAGTTAACTTTTCGTGAACACTTTTCCCATTTTCAGTGGGTCTTACCCAGCAATGTGGATCCTAAAGTTTACTTTGGATATGTTATAATAAATTAATATTACAACTGTAATTGTCATGGACGGTTATTTCCTATCTCACGTTAACGTTGGTGAGATAAGAAATCCTTTTTATTATTACACCTTTTGTATTACTTTTTAATAACAACTGATTTGCAATCTTCTCTACTTTTACTCCAAGCTAATTAAAAAAATCCCTTACTTTTAGGAAATATGTATGGGTAAAACTTTTGAATGCACTTCCTGCCACTCATAATATCACATAAAATCTTTATACTACTTGGGTAGAGGGAAAAGTTAATTTGCAAGGTACTATTACCACTATTTAAAAACGTTACACTACCCCTATTTAAAAACGTTAGGTAGAAGGCATAAAAGAAATAATAACCGACTATCCAGTCATTTTGTTCCTTGCGAAAGTTGTACTGATGTAGAGAAAATAAAAGAAATACTACAAAAGGTAACGAGCGTACAGTTCGAGTTAAGAACTGCAATTAATATCTAATGCTGTATTGCAATATGCACGTAAATGTATGGCAATGAAATGTGCAGACAGCGGACCGTCTAGATATGTCCAGGAAGGTCTTTGAAGGCCGTGCATTAACGTGGGGCGAGATGCTAGCCACACAAAAAATATGTGTTCGTGTCCGGAGATCAGACCATGTTTTGAGGGGATACAAAATCCGAATCTGATGACCATTTTACTCCATCACATGAGGTTTTTGACATAACCTAAAATATATAAAAAACGAAAAAAATATTTCTAACCAAAGGGCCAGACCATGTTGCCTATATGTTTTTAGGGTCGCGAAATCCGAATCTGAAGTTAATTTAACTTCATCACATTCGATTTTTCATATAACCTCACACAAAATTAAACATATCTGGCTGCTTGGAGAGAAGGCTAGTGATCTGACACCAACGATATAGCAAATCAGCCATACAATAACGTGATGAGTGTTGTCCCGTCAGGGGCCAATGCCACCTCTATCAATTACAATTGATCTGAATTAGAAATCTGATGTGATGAAGTTAAATGGACTTCGATTTCAGCGATCCCAAAAATATATATGTAAATATAATATTTATATGTAAATATCTTGTTAGAAATATATTTAATTTTTTATGTTTGTTGAGGTTATGTAAAAAAGCTTATGCGAACGAGTAAATCTGACACCGGATTCGAATTTAGCAACCGTAAAAACATATAGAAACCATGGTCTCATGCCCAGCCACGAACACAATTTTTATGTGTAATCAATCCTTGTCATTTTTTTCTGTGTAATCAATCCTTGAATCCTGTTATTGTTCTGTACGGGCGTCAATACAATCTGCATTTTAATAGGACATGCGAGGTGAGTCTCACGTACAAGCTGCGCAGGACGGGGCAAGTGCGACACAGGGAGGCCGGCACTGCCGCCAGGCTGGAGCGGTCCAGGTACAGCTCCTCCAGCGCCGACGTCCCGTTCAGCGCCGGGAACTGCTTCAGTTCCCTCGAGTCGGACAGGAACCTACGGCATTGCAAGGAAAGATCACACTATAATCTGACCCGACCGGGAATCAAACCCGGGATCGCGTAATGCAAAGGAAGCACACTGACCATTGGGGGCATAAGCATGTATAGATAAATTGAAATATCCACGATAGGCACTGACTAGTGACTAGCCATCAGTAAAATCTTGGTTCATTTTTTCTTTCTCGTTACCTTATACGCAGTACAGAAAGTTATGTAATGCTGCGGTGGAAAAATGGCGACTTTTTCGAAACAGAAACTCTTATTTCCAGGCCCTGGTAACAAAAAAGTGGATAAATTCAGATGCTATAATTAGAAAAATGTCCTTTAACACGTGGTATAGCCAGGATCCTTGCTTTGTGGGTCCTTGATACCACAGAGTTGATTGACGGCAAACGACTGTCCGTCTGTGAACAACGCTAGCGGATAAACCGTTCAACCAATTTTCCCCAAAAGTGATATTGCCCAATCGATATGTCTGATGATATAGAAATTGAAACCGATATTATTGAAACGATGAAATTGGCACCGAAAATATTAAAGAGTTTTTTTCCCTTATTGAAATTTGTTCCTTAAAGACATATTTTAAAATACGGTCATATACAATTTTTATAAAATTTGAGTATTTTGCGCAAAATATTGCATGAAATATCGTTAATTATAATTATGTGTACACAATTTCTTTCTCACACATGAAGGATTTTAATATGAAAATTGAAAAATGTAATTACAGACACTTAATTTTTGGATAAATCTCGTCTGTGTGCTCGAAGTTAACCGACGGGCCAAAAGTATTGGACGCCACACGCTCTGTGGTATCTGATTTGTAGTTGACACAAGAACATTAGGATGGGGTTATGACTCACCAGAGTAATTATACAAATAATACATATATGCGTATTACATACTGAAAGCCTCAGAATAAGTTACAAACATCTAGGGTATGTAGGGGGATCAAATATACCTTTTTGCCAGTAATCAAGTAGTAGAAAATTGCTTGGAACAAACTAGCACATGTGATATTTTCCCCTGTTAGGTAACCAACATGCACTGGTGTTTGATAGTTCACATATCTGAATGTGACAGAACGTGCTTATCTGCTGCTGTGTTTTGTTTTGCCTACCAATGCCTACCAATTTTGCCATGGGCAAGTTCCACAGATACAACTTCATTACATAATACTAGCGGAAGCCCCCAGCCGCTATCTTGGCACTCCGTTAGGACTGCTATGACCTGGTTGTTCTCGTGCTACAATCGCTCCCTCGCGGTTGTCTGTTAGGTCAGCATTAGTTTTGCCCGTCTATATCCCGCACCGCCCGCTCGTCCTGTCCTGCTCGACCCCTCCTCCCCTCGTTACACGGCAACGCCCAGCAACAACGAAGCCCATGTGGATTGCCAATTGCATTTAACTGATGCGGCATTTTGTGCTGCAGCGCCATCTAGGGAAGAGTTACAACAAAGCGAACAGAATAAAAACCTTATCCATGACAAGAAATCTTATATACGCCAAGTTTCATGGAGATCAGTCTAACAGTGTCCGAGTTTATCGATCTCAAACAAATCAATTTAAATGCTAATTGACAAAAAGTTATCATCTTCGACCCCACTACATGACCCACGTGCTTGTAACATTCATTCAGAGCCATTCTATACAAGTAAACACACTCATAGGAAAAAGTATTCGTACACCTTCTTATTCAGTAATTTAGTATTATATAAGATATATTTTTATAATGTGCAGCAGGGTGCTTTTAAATTCAATACAATAGGAACACAGGTAGTTCCCCTTCTAAATATTCCCCTTAAAACAGAGAGGTATCAAACGGGAAGCCATTCAGAGACGGGGTACTGAAGAGAGCTACATCTACAGTGCGTAATTGTAGAAGGGTCTCTACTAGTATTCATATTTACGTTGCTGCGCTTAACTAGGAATTGAGTCGGTGTCGTGAGCAATGTAGGGCGCTTCAATCTTTGTGAACTAGTTTTAAGGAAAAATGGGCGTAGAATGAAACAGATGAAGAGAATAGGATTATAATACGGGTTCACATTTTTTGTTTATAATAACCCTCAAATATCGAAAATGGTAAGAAACCAAGATCCATCATTCAGGGTATTATTGGTAGTAGAAAGTAGGTGAAAAATCTGAAGAGATGAGGACGTCCTGTTAACGAGCATGTGAAACGACAAGTCTTCAGAAAAGTTAACAGAATCCCTAGGATAAGTGCAGCAAAAATTAGTGTTGAACTGCAAATTGATTTAAATCTTAATATCAGTGCATCTACTATTCAAAAATATTTGCATTGTAGCGGATAATGACTATTCCAACTAAATATTAAATAGCACTTAAAATGATTAAAAATGAAATGTACGAAAACATTTTACAAGCTTGAATTTTTATATTTTTGGGTTTTATACTAATTTACTACGTATTATGTTATTATACTTGATTTTTAATTGCGTATTTATTTTTATATAGTACATGAAAGCACAGCATTTAATTTTATGTTTCGTAAATGAATGGATTCAGCTAAAATACATTACGTTTTGTTCACTTAACCACGTGCGAATACTTTTTTCTATGACCATATATAAAAAGCGGGACAAACACGCCCCCACAACGGCTCAATGTTCAGTTCAGCGGGGGAGGGGGAGCCAAGGCACTCACAGCTTGCGCAGCGCGGGCAGGCCGGAGAAGGCGAGCGGGTGCACGCCCTTCACGGGGTTGCCCTTGAGCTCGAGGCGCGTCAGCGCCGGGCAGCGCTGCAGCACGCCCGCCGGCACGTAGCCCAGCCGGTTGCCCGACACGGACCTGCGGCAGAAAGCGCGGTCAGGGCGCGGTCAGGGCGGCAAGCGGCCTCCCGGCACCAGTAATGAAAGTGTGTAGCAAACACAAGCACTACCTTCTTCTTTGGTCCTATCTTCCATATACGGTGACCCATAACGGGTTTTCTTGGGATATTTTATTCAGGGTGGTTTCCCGTTGCCTTCCCTGATATGAGAATGATGATGATGATGATGATGATGATACGAGGTGAAAGGACGAACACAATACAACCATGCCCGAGGCGGGACTCGAATCCGCGATCTTTCGGTACGAGATCGCTACGGCACTACTGCCTTAGCGATCTCGACCACCGGATCGGCAAGCACTACCTTACTAGTACCTTAAATGAAGAGCAAACATTCAAAACGTAACACGTCCACTTCACACAAAAAAAGAAAGCACAAATAATTTACATATTTCAACACCGTCATCAACACAACGAAGAATGTTTAACGTAATGTATTGTAAGACATCTCCGGTTTTTTTATGGAAATAAAATTATAGGTAAAAAACAGCAGGACACAATTTTTGCCAAATGGACTTGTCACCTTTTGAATGTTGGCTCTTCAAATAATAAAAAATAACTTAAATTCATACTCATCGGTCTATGATTATTACATAAGAAATCAATGTTACAAACTGATACTATAGATTTAGAAGCAGGATTACATCAGCTACGGAAGCAGCAAAAATCGTTCTTCTGGAAGATTTTTAATTTTTTATTAATACAAATATCGCAAAGCATGAGAGAAAGTATTAAGTAATTAATATTTCTTAGAATAGCAAAACATCCAGCGTAAAAATAGGCCTGCTTTCATCTGAGCTCGTCTGCTTTTCTGGCCTTGTGTGCCGGAACGTTGCGCTACTGGCTTCAAGTTAGCCGTAATATGATAAAGGGCAACGAGAGAAATGCCAAAAGCAGTTAAAGAAAAAATGTACTGCTTGGATAATGGTACACTCGTCCTACTGGCGAATCCAGAAAGTTTTCAATGGGGAGTGGGGACATTTTAGTTCAGAGATCCATAAATATTTTTATGATGTTTTTTTAAAACGTTAGTATGAAATAAAACGAGGATAAGCACAATGTGAATATAGCTTTGGAAGTGATGAAATCTAAGAATAAGAATTATTTTAAATAATTTGAGTAAAAGTATTTTTAAAATGTTGACTTTATGAGAACATAAACCCCCTTCCCTCTGGATACGACTCTATTCCTTCTAGCCATTAAAAATTAACAAAATTAACAAATTTTCAGTAACTCACAGCTCTTGCAGCATTGGCAGGTAAGTCAGGGCCATAGGTAACTGCGTCAGCGAGTTGTCATCCAGTTCTCTGCAACAGGGATACATACATTACCATTCATTAATTCAATTCAAATTTATTAGTATTTTTTTTAGAGATTGTCCTATTACATACGCAAATAATACAGTAACAGACACAAATACAAATACAGTAATACACAAGAAATACAAATAAGACAGTAACACAACAAAATATTAAAATAGCATAAGATACAAATAATTGAGGCAACAGAATATTCAAAAATATACAAAATGGCTTGTATCAAGTGAAGCTTGACTCTTTACAGATATGATAAGTTACTAATAATTCAATCATTACAGTGCTCGTAGAATTTATCTTCAACTATTCATTTAATAATAAATGCCCGTAATTTCAGAATTGATGAAATAAAAATGTACAGAGTTTTAGATCTTTCAGAGTTTAGTTCAATCAAACAATTGGGAAAGGATAATACATCATTGTGGTAAGGTCCTCAAATCCCTTTATAAATATCTATCACGCACTCACATAAAACATGTTTAAGGTTTTCATCAGTATTCATATTGCATAGCGAGCAGATTGTATTTGGATGTATTTGAGCCACAACGGCGCGGCGCGGCGCGGCGATGGACTGCGCCGCAACCATGGTCGAAAAGCACCTCTAAACTGCCTGTCCGCCACTGAGGTGAATTGGATATCACGGTGTGTTACGAGGTGTTGCTGGAAGTCCTGGAATTACTGGAAGTCTCACTATGTTCTTGGTAGCTGCTTTTAACCCTCAACTACCAATGTGCCGATGCTGGAGTGAATAGCTCAGAGAGCTTTTAGTGTTTATAGCAGAGAGTTTTAATTTATTTGCCAATTTTGTTACTTTGCAGGTTGATAATTATTCTTTGTAATGTGTAGAAAAATATAATACCAATTTTCGGTTTTGCAGTTAAGTCAGTGGAACGTCTTCAGAAAATAAATGTGATGTTTGAATTTTTCCCTAGCCTAAAAATTAATCCACATTTTCTAGTACGTTCGAAGTGTTAAATGCCGGATGCCAGCTGCAACCTTGAATTGATTGATTATGATTTCGTGCGCGTCAACTGCTAAGCTCAATAGTGCCGTAAATGTGGTGCATGTTTCCCTCGGGAGGGGGTGGTAACCCATGTTCCCCCACTCGATGGTAATATCGGGCGCCGACCTACGTACCTGTCAGCTAGCGGGGTTCTCCCCATCTAGGTATTTCCCACCAGCTTGGTACCATCCCAGTGAGGAAAAGCTCCGCCAGCTCCCTACCGGTCTCCCGGCATGTGTAGTGCATGTTAGTGTAGTTTGTGTAAGTGTGTGTAAGTAAGGGATGAGGACAGGACAAGGGCGGGCAAGGAAAGATCGCACGCTCTCCGTGGCCCGTTTGTTATTGTACTTCTCCGCCATTCATCTGGTATTGATCGGAGAAACCACGCAAAACCACCGATCAGAGCAGCCGGCCGCTACAATGTTTCCCCAGACAATGGCTGAATTTGACCTAGCTATGTAATTAGTGTCTGCCAGCGTGGAGAACACAGGCCGTGCGGTAACCCTAGGACCTCCCGTACAGAGGAACTGCAGTAACATCAGATGATGCACTAAGCCACCTCTCCCAATTCAGTTTTGAACTGCACTGCCGCTGTTACGATGCGACCAACGCATTTTGAAGTTGTATTCAGTGCTTTCACCACGCTGACATTTCGTTAACATCATTCTCTCTGGACGTTCACATCTACGGCATTCGTGAGCAATGATTGATTAAAACGAGTGTAATCGGGTTGCATTGTGTTCAGTCAGAAACACATTCGCATCACTCGCACCAGCTCGCTATGGATTAAAAAAGCGGTGCAAAGCTCCCAGGGTGTTTGTCAAACATGTCACTTGCTGCTGATAAATCATATCGCACAAATTAATGAAATCGAATTTTATTTAGATCGGAATCCTACGACTAGCTGTCAATTTGAGGCAATTTAAAACTAACAATATTCTTATGAAAATCTGAATTTTTCAGGACAGCTACAAACATACGTTTTTGAAGAAATAGCAAGAGAAGTGCAGTAGTAGAGAAACATTAATATACGATAAAATATTTTACTGTCGACATCTTTTACGATCTACGTTTTATCCATTATTTTACAAAGAACATAATTATTAGAAGCAGTTAGAACATTAATGAAATAATAATAAAATAATTATTTGATTGTAGTAAAATTTGCATACAAGAAAATTGAAAGCATTGCATGCAAGAAAATGCACGATAGTGTCTCCATTGGAAAATATCCAATGCTCTCCTAAACTGGAGCTGCAAGTGCTACCAATAGTAACCAAAATTTGCGACACATCCATACTGATCGTATGATAGCAACGAACAAACTATTGGTTGATGTAGCCGGACGTCAACTCTATCTGAGAATTTCCAAAGCACTACTGGTGATTAATAGGACTATTTCCCGAATGAAGATATGATTGGCCAGTTGGGAGAAGCGGTAAGAAAAATCGGATAGAAAAAACGATAAACGTGAGATACATCGCCCTGATTGAGAAATTTTGTACGTAGAGTTAAACACTATTGGTTTTATTTTGAGGAGTAGAAATTAAAAATTAAAAAGTTAAAACATTTTAGTAACCAAATAAAGGTACATTGATTTAATCCTTAGTACCTTATAAAAACATGGTTTATGATGATGATGATGATGATGATGATGATTTAAACCTTTGTAGGTTATATCAATGAGCAGTAAATATATTCTCTGTGATGAAAATGCAAATATTTATTTGGTGAAACACCAGACAACATTCAGTTACTAATAAAATTCATAGCAATGGAAGGTTTGCATTGGAATAGAATTCTTCTCATATAAATTCATAGAAGAAAGTATAAATATGTAAATGTAGTTTGGGTGTGAAGGCTGAACAGGAGGTACTAGGCACTCAACCTTCAATATCAAAGTTCATTGCTTATTCATTTTCTGCAGCTGAGAAATATTTTAAAAAATGCACAGTTTTCATCCTTCAATAGCACAGTTTTCATCCTTTCATATCTCAATTGATCGATAACATAGATGTTCACTGGTCTTTCCCTTTTTGAATTGTGAGTTTGAATCCAATTTTGGTCTGTAGTTTTCAATGACTGGAAAGTCTGCACTGGCCGTATTGTTCAGGATGTAAAAAAAGAAATCTGGTGAGGGTATACTAACATTAATTTACTATTTATTCCTGATTCTATACTACGTGTTCTCACAAATTATGACAAAAGAAGCAAAGTTTCTTATAATCTTTGTAGCAATTCCAGGCGGAAGAAATCGAGAAAAATTGTCAATTTGTTGGGAGCACATGTAATAATGTTACTTTGACTCAATTGAATATGTATTGGTGGAGGACAAGTCCATGACTGGTACCTTTCTAAATGGTTGAAATTCCACGTAATGTTGAACTACCGTGTACATAATTGAAGTAATAGATAATATTCAGGTAATTTTTAAGAGTAGCAATCGACTTAAAGTTTCAAAAACTATTACAAGTAGTAATTTCTATAATAAGTTTCAAAAATTAATTCTGACTAATTTATTTAAAAATATATTCTGCTTGTCTTTTACTTCCTGCTTTAGTAGATTATACATCAGCAGTCGCTGTTGTCTCTTAAGAACCAAGGAAGTATTTATTAAATAGAAAATGCCATATGACACTAAGAAAAGGCAAAAGGAATAGATTGTATATTGTACCCCAGAAGGAAAGTAATACTAATTTTAACATTGACATTTGATGTATTATTTACCATTTGGCCTGTGTAATTCTAAAAATTCTGCAACAAGTATTGTACTTCAGCTATTACGTCAATGACCCCCATCTCGACCAGGTTTTCGTCACGTTTCTCTGATTCTTGAGAAAATGCTGAGATGTCCCCTTGTTTTCTTTCTGGTCATAAATGTAACTTCAAATTAATTTCTCCTCATAGCACGTCACACACAGTTTTGATTGTTTTTGACGTAAATAAAAATACATAGTTCAATGGCAGAATGAAGAAAAGTTAGTTTTCGATGCAAGAGCAACATCGGTACCAATAAATCAGTTTTTAAAATGGAGTTAGGGGTGTCACAAATCCCTTAAACACACCATTTTTCGCCCTTTATCGCTACCTTAGAAAATGAAGAATAAGTGTTATTTATTGTTATTTTTATCCATGAAGTTTTGGCCGAAGCTTGGCGCCCACGTTATCGCGAAACAATTTTATAATCATCAAACATTAGTTATTCGATTCAAATAGTGTTCCAAATTAGCTCGAATATGGTCAATTTTACGTTAAAACCATAGAAGTAGCTACTTTTCAATTAGCTACAGCTCCGTAAATTTTGAATCATAAATACTTGTAATTTACATAACATTAAAGCTTGAAATCCCTACTTTAAGGACTTTGCTTCACACAATTTACCTATATCACTGCAATCTGCTAAAATTAAGTCGCGTGCCATCACTGATAACAACCCACATTAGAACCGCTCTGTTGTCTGATTTCTTTATTCACTATTAGATTGAATTGGTCATATTTGTAGAGATATCAAACAGGTTTGGAAGTTACTACACTTTAAAAAAACACTGTATGTCATTTGCAAGGCCTTGCACTATTTTTTCCCTAGAAAGCATTTTTTTAAACCGACTTTTGAGTGCTTATTGGGGCTCAGCCATTCGGAATATTCAAGTAGTTTATGCTTAAAATTCTTAAGAGTTAATATTCGAAGTTTCGTTTCCTTCCCGAACAGAATAAATTATATCTATCTATCTATCTCTCTCTCTCTCTCTCTCTCTCTCTCTCTCTCTCTCTCTCTATATATATATATATATATAATAACCGACTTTTGAGTGCTTATTGGGCGTCACCATTCGGAATATTCAAGTAGTTTATGCCTAAAATTCCTAATAGTTTATATTCCATGTTTCGTTTCCCTTCCGGACAGTATATATACCATATACATATACATATATGGCACGTAATAGAAACTTTTTTAAAAACTTCGA